ACTGTGGTTTTGTTATTGTATGGGTGGTTTGGGCCATGAACAGCAACTTGGTACCTGCCTTTGTCTGATAAGGGATAAAACATCTCATTGTTGTAAGGATGCCTCCGCTACAAGCCGACCTGACCGGCTGCATACTTATTTAAGGCTCACTTTTTCCGAGTTTGTCAAAATCTGGAGTCGCGGGTTCTTCTACCATTATCCGGTAAAGATCAACACATAGTAGAAGCGTTATTACGAACCTAATACCGAATATGGCAATTCTGGTGCCTCATCCATACTAACCGGACTTTGACCAGGGTGCAGGAGATTTTTTCTTCTGGAGTCGAATAATAGAACAAATAACGAAAATCAGTGGAATGCATCATAAGAAGCATAAGGCAGGCGCGTTCCTTCGTACAAAAGTCAGTAGAAAGCCGAAGAAAGCAGGGTGAATAACGGTCGAGGAATTTCCTCGACCATAGCTCTCTACCATGCGAGAGTAGTGCCGAGAGTGAACATCCGCGCGGAGAGCACAGACGGCACGCGCATGGCGAGTGTGAATGTCCGCGCGAGAGATCGTGTCTGATCGGGCAGAGAATCCTCGACGTGCCGTTGAGGAATCCTCAAGCGATATTCACCCTGGATGAAAGAACAAATCGCAAGCTGATAGTCGTTGATCGGTGGTCACGCGTTGTAACCGTGTGCAAGAGGGTGGTGCGCGCATCGTTCTGCCTGTCCAAATGAGGTGCGCTCCCTTTCAGACATGATAATCTATAGGTCGTTCCAGGAATGAGCTCCTTAGAAAAGCTTACCGGCGGCGCGGACCAGAGTCAACCCTGCGTTGCGCAGTTCGCAACGGCACGTTGAGAGATCCTCAACGCACGCTGTATGGGCGGAGACACAGACGGCTCGAGCATGCGAGTGTGAATGTTCGCGCGAGAGAACGTGTCTAATCGGGCGAAACTGCGCAACGTGGCCGTTGAGAACTGCGCAACGCAGGGTTGACTCTGGCGCGGACCCGTTCGCGAGTTGGTGACGTCACAGCGGAGGGGAGGAAGCGAGCAAGAGCCCGCTTTGCCACCAATACTGCAAAACATTAAAGGCAAAGTTCGGGCTCAGACCCACCTAAGAAGCCCTTACCATGGCTAGAAGTGCTGGGCACGCAAGTGCAAAGTTAGCGCCACCTTTCTACATCGAAACCCGTCACCAGGACCCTAGGCGCCATGAACTTCTAACAGACTCCACCAAACATAACATGGTCCGCCCACCGATCGATGTCTTGTCTGCGTCGCTGTTGATCTGCTATGCTCTCTCTTCTCGGAATTCTCTACCACCCTCTGCGCTCACATTATCTCTCATCTCCCTCCCTGTCTTTTGAACTTCTCCACAGCATTGAGCAAAATGCTCGTATTTCCTGTGCATGTCAGGATTTTCTTTCCTTTTTTCTCCATTGGCGGTCCACTCTCATCCCTACTTTCACATTTGAGTAGAATTAACCCTCACCCTCACATCAATGTAATCCTGATTCTTGCCTTCAAGTACTCTTCTTTATAGCCCATATCTCAAAGTCTGATTAGGAGTGCCCCGGAATTGTTAGAAGCAGCTTATCCACGCAACTTTATCAAGTGCTGTGACGGCACGTCGTCAGCGCGCCTTATCAGACTTGGAGATGGACATCTTGAGGGTTAGCACATGAGAGCCTTGACTTCCTCTACATTTTCGGAAAACTTCCATTCCTATGCGAGGATGGTATCTGTATATTACATAGTCGTTGCGCTCGCGGCACAACTAATTGAACAAGTTGATATTGTGCCAAGAAACGAAGCACTACTTGAGCAAAGTGGCAGCGGCGCTGGCCACTGCTTGCCCTTCCTTCGAGACTGCCGCAGCGGTGACGTCATTTTGACGTCAGCGGCACGCATTCACGTCCGCGCCGGTTAGCTTTTCTGTCTACCAATTGAACGTTTCAGCTTTCGACCATCGAATGGCTTCAAAGGCGGTGGTTGCATCTGCCATGGGAGCATGTGCGGTAGGAGTCGCCGTTTCCATATGGTACATAATCGCAATTATGAACGACATCCATCGTTTCGTCGATGACGTCACTAAGGATCTAAATCAATTTAAGGTCAGTGCATTCAAAAGCTAAGAAGAGTGCGAACGAGTGCGACACAGCGTGTCCCGTTACACAAGAAAGGGCTGTCCGGTCGACGTAGTGAGTTACATTCAGAAGCACGTCTCTATGCGCGTTTAAAATACTGACAATCTTTCTACAAAATCTTCTGAACGATTCCTTGCGGAGCTGTGAAGATTTTTTCCCGTGCTGTCTGCATATAAGACAGTCGAGATGTGAACGAGATGTAGTATGTACGTGGAGTTGTGACGCAGTTGGTCGCTGTACGCGCCAGAGAAAAGAGGTGATGGGATCAACTCTTCCGCTGATTTGCTGTTTGCTTTTCCGGCAAGATGAATGAGACTTTTTATCGACCTTACTTCAACGAAGCTTTACTTCAGTTTTTTGTATAAAGACTGTGCGCAACTTAAAACGTTTCAGGGCACCATTTGCTCTCAGTTGTTATTTCGCGTAGCGCGCTAATTTTGCGCAAGGCGCACTTCTTTCCATGCGTTCTCTGATTTCCGCCCGATCCTACCCAAAAGCAACCAGCGCGTGCGCTACAAACAGCATGAGCAGTCGTGGGCAAGATGGGTGCCATGCGCAGTTCTCCAGAGGTGGAGGTAAGGTCATTTGGTGAAGGCTACTCGTGATTTACGGTTTTTTTGACGATTAGGGCAAATTTTACGAACGAAGCGCAAAATAGGCGAAGTTATAGGATTTGCCGCTTCATTGGGCCTATCTCCCTCCTGCCTATCCCTCTCCTCTCCCCATTCGTGGGCGGAATTCGGTGTGTGTCGACTGGTCTTCGAGTCGGAATGCAGTGGAAACAGCTGTGATGGTGATGGTGAGGATGGGACAGGCAATTGGCCTCTGGATCGTGGGCAAGTGGTACTCCGATTTGAATAAACGTGCAGGCAAGCATTGTTGAAATAAAATGTGTGAAAACCCTCACCATGTATATTTTTGGTAGAAACGAAGAAGCAAACAAGAAACCGATCCCACCCGGTCGCTAACACAACCTGAGAACCATTCTTGTCATCTGTCCACAGTCGCTGGTTGGTCCGTTCTGACTAATCTCTCATCACTGAGGGGATTGTTCAGGAGCTCAAGTGTCAACACGATCTTGAAGTGTAAAACAGGGATTATCAGTCGGTAGGATCGTGAAGAAAATTCTTGATTATTGCTCTATTTATGAGTCCAGGATTTCATTAGGAAACCCTCATGTGTAATTGCCCAAAATAGTCGGTGAATATTGAGCACCTTTCATCGCTTTTCCCTAGCAGCATTGTCAAGCTTCAGAAGCGTATTAAATGAAAACACTTCAGGAAAAAGCCGATGATGTGTGGCGCGAGTTGGTGCCTGCTTCACAGTCCTACTCATCAGCGAAGATTGAGGTACTTTTACGAAAGGAAAAGCGACAGATCAACGCAGCAGGTAACATAGATGGTGGTAATTATTGCGTTTTCCTTACCTGCACTTGTACCTCACAAGCGAAATACACGAAATATAGGGCAACAGTGCCAGTGCGGCCCTCCACCAGCAAATTGTGAACGAGGGCTCCCTGGTCCACCAGGAGAGCCTGGAGAACCAGGGCGTAAGTAGACTTAATTTGAAATGAAGTTGGTTGCCAAGCGAAAACCATTTTCAGCGATGCGAAGCTGGCTTTGGATGACAACCTGGAATTGCCGGGATCAAATTTATGACCGATGTGTTCCCTATGATGAAAGACTGTGTAAAGTGCCCACAGGGGACGGTTGGACCTCGAGGGCCAGAGGGACCTGCCGGTCCTTCAGGATCTGTTGGGTTGCCTGGTAGAGATGGAAAATTTGGTGCGCCTGGTGCCGCTGGACCGTCAGGGCCACCTGGAGATGTCGGAGAACGTGGATCACCAGGTGCACCTGGGGCAGATGGTCAAGAAGGTGCTCCTGGATTTATGAATTTGTCTGGACCGCGTGGACCGGCTGGTTCACCTGGAGCGTCGGGTGCTGCTGGGCTTCCAGGAGCTCCTGGAATCGATGCGGGTATGTATACTTTTCATTCCTTAAATCCTGCTTCGGTTGAAGATGAGTGTTGTTCCGATAACTGCGTGTAATTATTCTCAGGGCCTGGAGTCGCTGGACCTGCAGGAGAAATTGGTCCGACTGGAAAGCCCGGAGCTGATGGGTCACCTGGCGTTTCGGGTGCTCTAGGAAAGGATGGTTCTCCAGGATCAGATGCTACTTACTGTCGTTGTCCTTCTGACATAAGCGCTGCAGAAGGAACTGCGACATTTGTAAGCGTGACTCCGGTTGGTGGAGGAGCTCAACTCGGATATGCCACGATCAAGACAATGAGCAAATAACTTGATGAATTATTTCGCGGGAATATCATGTTGTTCAACGATTACAAAGACATTTTTGATGTGTTTTTCAATGTCAGGACACAGTTTTTACCAGAAGTCGTTCAAAATGATGATTCCTACAACAGGGGTGTCCAAAAAGGTACCTTGGAAGCCTATAGGTATGCCCTCTCGCACGGCCGATTGTCGTTAATTTTTTGAAAAGATTGTCGAAGTTCAAGCAAAATTCCGCTCGATGAATTTGGTCTGAACACCCGGAATGAGTTCAAGCATGTTACGCGTTGAAGGGCTCCTATCATAGGACAGTCTATAGAATGGGCAGACATACCCTCCCCTTCAAAAAGCGAGAAAGTGTCGGGTGCAGACCATACACCACAAGTGACGACGGCCTTCACAAAATGTAATGTTTTTTGCCAATGAAATGATTAGCCTGTTGCAGTTGTATTCTATCAGTTGTCACTAATTACAACTATCATTTACCAAAATCAGCTATCACTATGAACCACTACTAACCAACCAGATTTACTTGGAGGCCGTCGTCAGTTGTGGTGTTTGGTCTGCACCGACACTTTCTCGCTTTTTGAAGGGGAGGGTATGTGACAAAGAAGTGAAAGAAGATTTTTATATCCTTTGAGGAAAGGGCACGCAGAAAAATTAACTTCGTAGCGTGCTGAATGTACAATTTTAGTCATTAAAAGAAATTAATCGGAAATAGAAAATGCTGATGTCACGAAGTATCCAGTTTCCTTCAGCTCTACGCCATCAGACACAAATTTGTGAGCATGGAGGCAAGGAAGCCCAACAACCGTAACAGCCGTAGTACAACCGTTTAGCCCAATAAAATAGCAAGCTCCCATTTCCTATTCAATCTCGAAATGGACATCAATTTCATATTGATAGAAATGGGTGGTCTTCGCATTACACCTTAAAAGC